TGGGGGTACTATAAGGGATTACTAAGCTCCAGTACCCAGGCAATTCCTGCTATCAATCCTGGAGTTATGCAAGAGGGATCAGTACTAAGTAGAAGTCAACAATTACAGCTCATAGCACCATTTACTAGAGAAGATGTAGCTCAAGCCTTGAAGGGAATAGATGATTCAAAAGCCCCGGGAGGAGATGGTTTTAATTCTTGATTCTTTAAGAAATCTTGGCATGTGCTTGGTGATGAAGTAACAGATGTAGTACTTCAGTTCTTTGATATTGGTGCAATGTACAAACCAATTAATAGTACATCAGTTACCCTCAATCCCAAAACCAAAAACCCTACATCTATTAAAGAATATAGACCAATGTCTTGTTGTACTACTTTGTACAAAATCATCTCAAAAATGATCACAAATAGAATGCAACATGTTATGGATTCATTGGTGGATTGCAACCAGGCAGCCTTTGTACCTAGCAGACTACTCTCAGATAACATTTTACTTAGTCATGAATTGGTCAAAAGTTATGGTAGAAGGGGCATATCTCCTAGATGTATGGTCAAGATTGACATGCAAAAAGCATATGATTCCATTGAATGGATGTTCTTGGAACAAGTACTATCAGGCCTTAACTTTCCTGAAAAATTTGTCAGATGGATCATGAGCTGCATCAGTACAATTACATACTCCATCATTACCAATGGTAACCCAATTCCTCCCTTTGCTGCTAAGAGAGGTATAAGACAAGGTGATCCTATATCGCCTTTACTTTTTGTACTGGCAATGGAGTATCTAACAAGGTTACTGAGAACTTTGAAGAGCAAACCAGATTTAACTATCACCCAAGGTGTGAGAAGCTGGGAGTAATTCAACTTAGCTTGCTGATGATTTACTCCTATTTTGTAGAGGTGATAAAGTTTCTGTGATGTTGCTATATAGATGCTTCCAACAATTCTCATCTGCATCAGGATTGATAGCCAATCAAAGCAAAAGCTATGTCTATTTTGGAGGAGTACCAGAGGGAATTCAACAGGATATTATGCAGACTCTTGGATTTAGCAGGGGAACTTTACCATTCAGATATCTTGGGGGTACCAATGAGCACAAAGAGATTATCATCAGTACACCAGTGTCAACCTCTACTGGACAAAATGATTGGAAGGATCACTAGCTGGACAGTCAAGTTCCTCTCATATGCTGGAAGATTACAACTGATTAAAAGTGTATTAACTGCCATCCAATCTTTCTGGTCGCAGATTTTCCCTCTCCCAAAGAAAATTATTACAAAGATTGAGACAATTTGTAAAAAGTTTCTATGGACAGGAGAAACTGAAGGCAAGAGAAAAGCTTTGATATCATGGGATAAACTATGCTGGCCAAAATCATCAGGGGGTCTGAACATCACCAACTTATAGATACCAGGCTGCAATTGTCAAACACTTGTGGAACCTACACAAGAAAAATGACAGATTATGAATCCAATGGGTACACACATATTACATAAAAGGAAGGTAAGTTTGGTCTGTCAATGCTAAACAAGCCTCATGGCTGATCCAGAAGATTATTCAAGCTGCAAAGTACCTGAATGAGGCTGCCTTGAACATTGAGCAGGAGCTTAATACAGAGAAATACTCCATTAGAGATGTCTACAACAAATTGAGAGGATATTTTCCAAAAGTATCTTGGAAAAGGTTGATATGCAATAACATAGGATGTCCAATATAGCTCTTCATTCTATACCTGGCTATACACAACAGACTTTACACTAGGGACATGCCGATCAAATGGGGTAAAAATACCAATTCAGGATGCCCACTATGTGAATATGAAGAAAAATGTCACCAACACTTGTTTTTAAAAGGGAAAAGGCCCAAAAATGACCTTGTGGTATTCGAAATGGATCAATTATAACCCCCGTTTAAATTTGAATCCAAAAATGATCCTGCCGTTATAAAATGGGTCTAATAATGCCCTTGTGTTATTCAAAATAGATCAATAATGCCCTGAATTTTTATTTTTTTTTAAAATGCTTTTAAAAACTGAAAAATATATATTATGTAAAAACTAGAAAAAGAAAGGAATTTGCAAAATATATATTTTTAAGTCTTTTCAATTTTTTTAAAGTATTTGTTTTGTAAAAACTGGAAAAAAAAATATTTTTTAAAAAAACTGGAAAAAAACTCTCCTAAAGCAGTGGACTACATATGCATTAGTTTTAAAAAAAATAAAAATATTTTGCAAAATCTTTTTTTTTTCAATTTGACGGTTCAATATTTTTTCGATTTATTTTTATAAAATAAAAAATCTACCATAATTATCGGTACAGTTATAGATTTATATAAAANATTTATTTTTATAAAATAAAAAATCTACCATAATTATCGGTACAGTTATAGATTCATACGGTTTTATTAAAAAAACCTAAAAATCGGTTCGGCACGGTACGATTATGTCGGTTTTTAAATATTCATTTACAGTTATATGTCTGTGTAAATAAATATTTAAAAATCGACTAAACCGAGATAATCGTACCATGCTGAACCGATTTTTAGTTTTTTTTTTAATAAAACCGTATATTTTTATATAAATATATAACTGTACCGATAATTATGGTAGATTTTTTATTTTATAAAAATAAACCGAAAAAATATTGAACCGTCAAATTGAAAAAAAAAAGATTTTGCAAAATATTTTTATTTTTTTAAAACTAATGCATTTTTTCCAGTTTTTTAAAAAAATATTTTTTTTTCAGTTTTTACAAAACAAATACTTTTAAAAAACTGAAAAGACTTAAAATATATATTTTGCAAATTTCTTTCTTTTTCTAGTTTTTACAGAATATATATTTTTCAGTTTTTAAAAGCATTTTAAAAAAAAAATCCAGGGCATTATTGATCCATTTTGAATAACACAAGGGCATTATTAGACCCATTTTATAACGGCAGGGTCATTTTTGGATTCAAATTTAAACGGGGGTTATAATTGATCCATTTCGAATACCACAAGGTCATTTTTGGACCTTTTCCCTTTTTAAAATGTCAATTCTAGCACGTTTATGGAAAAAACTATTAACATGGCAGAACATCCATAGAGGTGTACAAGGCTGGAGTGAGGAACTTGAATGGACCATCATGCATGCTAATGGAAGAAACTTAAGAGGGGTGGTGTACAGACTAGTACTTGTTGCTGCCATATACTATGTGTGGCACGAAAGGAATTACAGAATATTCAATCAGAAGAAGAGGAGAGTGGAGGACATCACACGATTGATTGTCCAGGAAGTACATTACAGGAGTAGTCTAAGACCAAAATTAGCTAGTTTCATGCAAGATATTAATGCATATCCATAGATGCATGCATGCATGCTTAGGATCAAGGTTGGGGCCATCTGTCCAACAAAGGGTCTGATTGTACTTGTACATATTTCCCTTGGTAAATAATATACTTTACTTACCCAAAAAAAATGGCTTAAGATAATATCACCGGAAGTAGATATTAAAGAAGGGCCTTTCTAACAGTTTGTGTTTAAGTTATATACTCTGTCATTGAAAGTGATATTTACATCATCATGTCACCATTATTTGTTATAGTGGTAATTTCTCCTATTTTAAATTTTACAAATCTAACATTTTAAGAAGGTTTATTTGCATATATCCTTTGTGACTTGATGGTGTAAAAGCTTTTTTTACGCCGACGATGTATTTAACCTAAACTATAATTCGTTAAATGCAACAACAAAGCAGCTGTAAATAACATGTTTTATGCCTATGAATAACGCTGCTACTAGTAATTACACACACAAAAAATCCAACTATTTAGTAAAAATAGTACGGGCTAGCCAGTTTTTGAACTGGTAATTGAAAAATAGTCAGTTTTTGGACTGGTAATTGAAAAATAGCCAGTGTTTGCAAAGTCATTGAAAAATAGCCATTATTTTGCTGCAACACGGAAAGTTCCAGCATAATATACTGGAGATTGGTCCACCTATGCATGAACTTCCAGCATATTATGCTGGAACTCCAGCACACGAAAAGTTCCAGCATAATATACCGGAGATTGGAGCACCTGTGTATGAACTTCCAGCATATTATGTTGGAACTTCAGTATATTATGCTGGAAGTTTACATGTAAAAAATTCGAACTCCAGTATATTATGCTGAAATATTTTTTGTATTTTAAACAGTGTTTTCGTACAGATTTATCTTTACATGAAAAGTGGCTAAATTTCGATTACTTTTGAAGTTGTGACTATTTTTCAATTATCACTTTTAAATTTGACTATTTTTGAATTTCACCCATTTTTAAATGATGTCCGTCGTTGTCTAATGGGCTAAATTAATTTCTGTAAAAGAAAAATCTACCTATTTTTAAAGATAAAATCTTATGGGGAATGAATTAAAGAGCGGCTTCAAAAAATTCAACTAGAAAAACCTATAAAAATAATCAAATAAATCATATCGTCTGGGAAAAAAAAGAGAAACTGTAGAGTTGATATATTTTAGCTTCAACAACTCTGATTTGCGCTCTTGTTTTCCTCCCAAAACCTCAAAAATGAAATACATATGAGCTTTATATATATATTTCTTGATAACAAATATATTTCTTGACTGAACTGAACTTCCAGAACCTGGTAACATACGTATGAGAGGACTGAGGACACACAGGAGAAGATGAAAAATTCTAGCCAAGAGGTTTTGGCTTTTGTTTAGTTATTTCCCTCCAAGTAATATTGATTCCAGACATAAAAGGAAGTAATATATTTTGTTAATAGGCACACAAAAGGAAGTACTATTATGAGTTGGTTACGTTAGTTATCAATATAGAGAGACAAAAAAATTCCCTTTTCCTCCTTAGAACGAGTCTGGGGGATTAAACAGGTGGGAATTAATCCAAGCCCTTGAAAATTCCTATTATAATGCCTAACTTTATGCTTATCTTGCCATTTACCCCCCTGTGATATAAAAAGCTAATTAAATCATCCTAATTCACTTTTGTCTCAAAAACAAAAAATGGAAGATGACAGGCGAGGAATTCTGCCAAATGTGGCTATTAAAAGAAGCCCAGAAACTAATTCAAATATCACCATACAAACAACTCCTATAACAACAACAACCTCTACGTTGACAACCAATATCAAGACCGAAAGCAGCAACAACAATAATAAGTATAATAGTAGTAGTAGTAATAATAATAGTAAAGAACAAGACCGGTTCCTTCCAATAGCGAATGTGGGACGAATCATGAAGAAAGTCATCCCAGGAAATGGAAAGATATCGAAAGATGCAAAGGAAACGGTCCAAGAATGCGTTTCTGAGTTCATTAGCTTTGTAACTGGAGAAGCATCAGACAAATGCCAACGCGAGAAGAGGAAGACCATTAATGGCGATGACATTATATGGGCTATCGGAGTCCTTGGGTTCGACGAATATGTGAACCCACTAAAGCAATATCTTAACAAGTACAGAGAACTTGAAGGTGAAAAACTAAATGTTCCTAATAAGCAGCAGCAGCAGCAACAGCTACATGATCACGCGCATTCGCCTAGTTTGCCTAATTACAACAGCGTATATAATTCTCCCTCAGGTCTTGGTTTGCCTCAACCTTCATTTGTGTCAACAGATCAATCGTTTCCGTTTCCATTGATTTCACAGAATTCAATCCAATCCCAATTATCTCAACAAGAGCAGCAGATTGACTCTGTTGGGCATTGGTAAAAAGAAAAAACCTAGCTAAGACAATATGAATAGGTTTGATCATTATACGTAATTTATCTTCTTTTTTTTCTTTTTGGTATTTTCCTCCTTTCATTTGAAAATTTTTGTAACGTAAAATGATATAGGATGAGCATACTGTTATATTACATTGAAATTCTTTGACGGCTTCACATACATGATTTAATTAGGACAGTTGTTTAGGATTTGGCACGTCGATCGTGTTATTTATCTCATGCATATATAACATCTCACGCGCGCACACAAAGAAGAATGTTTTGTTTAGCTAGAAACATATAACGTCCAATTGATTGATCAAAATTCTTTTGAAATGTAGTCAGGAATTTGGTGACAAATTAATGTTCTCAGGTGCATTTTGAAGTTGGTGGAAAAGGAATAGGAAGATAAATATATATATAGAACAAGAAATAAATAGTACTAGTTAGTTGATTTTCTCTGTTTTGCTGTTTGCCTTGGAAAGAAATTAAAGTGAGGGAACCTTTTCTTTGTTGTTCGGCTTATCAAATGAAAAATTGAAGATGTTTTAACTTTTACTTAACATCTCCTCCCTCGTGTTTTGCATATTTGAGCTTTGAGCTTGTGGATGGTAGCTATGGAGTCCCTTATGTTTGTCTTTAGCCGTGCTGAATGCATAGCGTTAATAGACGTTACTGGTTAATTCAACTTTGTCATTCTTATTGAACCCTGATGAAAATCATAAATTTTGTTATTTCTTCATTTTTATTCAAAATTGATTGGTCAGTCTAAGACCTCCAAAAATGTACTATCTTTAATCTTGAGTGTTTGTGTTTCGTTCCAAAATCTTACATTTTAGATGTTTTGGAGGAAAGAAAGGTGATTATCAGGGGCGGATTTACTGCCCAATTTATGGTGTAGATGAACTCATGGTCTTTCCTCCAAACTAGGTATTTTACATACATATTTTCTAAAATTAATCTAATATTATTTATTGGGCGCGTTATGCTGCAAAAAGATTGAATGGTGTACTTGGTTGAAGGTTGAGTTATTTATCATGAATGAAGAATTCCTTTTGTCTACAAATAGTGGCTTCTTCTTAGCTTGTTGATGTTCTGCAGGAAGCTTCAGTTTTTGAGATGGTTTTGGGCTCTTAATTACCATTTCTTGCAAAGATTAATTTCCTCTTCCAACCATCTACATATAGGCGTGTGAATTTGTTTGACATTGAAACTTCAGTTATTTAAGTAGTAGCTTCATCCTATAGTTGCTTTGAATAACTCATAGTATAGAAAACTTATTTGGACACTTAATCACACCACTTGTTTCCAAGAAGTTGGAATCTGTTGGAGGAAATTGATTTTAATCCAGCTGATGTTAGTCAGAATTTGATGCCTAAATCTGCTGAAGAGTATGCTAAAGCTTGCATACAGAATACTTGTAACGTAAGTTCAGTAACCGGACTCAAGAAGCGGGCATGGATGTAAAGATTGATGCTCAAGTCATCTCCACGAGGAGTATTTTCAGGTATCTTGGGTCTATGATCCAAGGCGACGGAGAGATTGATAATGAAGTCTCACGTCGTATTGGTGCGGGGTGGATGAAATGGAGGCTCGTATTCGGTATTTTGTGTGATAAGAATGTGCCACTGAGACTTAAGGGTAAGTTCTACAGAGTGGTGGTTAGACCTGCTATGTTGTATGGCTGAGTATTGGCCAGTCAACAACTCCCATGTTCAGAAGATGAAAATAGCAAAAATGAGGATGTTGAGATAGATGTGTGGACATACCAGGAGAGATAAGATTAGGAATGAAATTATTCGGGACGAAGTGGGAGTGGCCCCCGTAGAGGACAAAATACGGGAGTTGAGGCTGAGATTGTTCGGGCACGTGAAGAGGAGAAGTACAAATGCTCATGTTAGGAGGTGTGAGAGGTTGGCCATGGCGGGCCTGAGAAGAGGTAGAGGTAGGCCAAAGAAGTATTGGGGAGAGGTGATTAGGCAGGACATGGCGCTGCTTCAGTTCACTGAGGATATGACTCAGGATAGGAGGGTGTGGAGGTTGAGAATTAGGGTAGACGACTAGTAGATAGTCGAGAGTTCCTATTTATTACCAGTAGTATTAGTAGCGCTCTTGTATTTTCATATTCTTTGATCTCTATTATTTGCATGTTGTTTTGTTCGATTCGTGTGTCTTATTTCCCTGCTATTACTATTTGATGCTACTTTTTCTTTTTCGGCTTCTCTTTTCCCCTTTTTTCCTTATAGTCTTTCGTCTTCCGCTTCTTCCTCTTTCTTCTTCCTCTTTCTTCTTCTTCCCTTTTTCATCTTTTTTTGAGTCGATGATCTATTGAAAATAGCATCTCTATCTCACCGAGTAGGGATAAGGTCTGTGTATACACTACCCTCCTCATACCCTACTTGTAGGATTACAATTGGTATGTTGTTGTTATCAGTTGAGCAAAACAAGAATAAAATTTAAGCATTGTACTACAATTGTTTTTTTTAATTAATCATCCAGTATCCGAAATTTGCTAGTACTTGATTAACTTGAGCACCACCTAAAATCTAGTTAAAGGTAAAATTTAACTAGATTTTATGATAAATTCTAATATATATCTATATTATAGATTTTTACAAACAAATTATAATGCTAAGAGTGTTTTTGATATTTTAAGCTAAAATACACAATCTTTAATATTCTTATTAGATTATATCATTTCGAAATTCTTATGTAGTAATTTTAATAGAAAATTAAATTTTCATATTAAATACAAACGAGAAGGAGAATTTAATTTAATTTCTTATTAAAAATAATACAAAAATAATTATTTTTATAATTATTAGTACATTTATGACATATAATTAAAAAACTTCTTTGTTTAACCTTTGAACTAATTCAACACCATCCATTTAGAAAAATAATACAATAATATTTGTATTATAGATAAACACTAAATGAAAACAAAGTAAAATATTATAGAACGAAAACTAATGTATAAAGAGGAGAATAGATATAATGTGATTCTATCCCCACTTTAAATTTATTTGATAATATTAAGTGAATAAATAATACTCAAAAATATTATTGAATAATTTAAATAATGAAATAATTATGAGAAAGTCATACAGGATAAAGTCAGGTTAAATTTCAAGAGTATAAAAAGTATATTCAGTGTATTATATTAAACTGGTAATTTACTAAAAATTCATATGATAATTTTGATAATATTAAGTAATGGATAATACAATTAAATAAGCAAGGAAGAAAAGAAAAATATAAATTTGTGAAAAAATATAAAAATATAAGACTTATAATTAGAAGTATGATGAGAAAAGTAGTACATATACACATAGCTAAAATCATAATAAACAAAGAGTCATAAAGGAAGAATACTAAAAACCAAATTCAAGTGATTGTGTGAAAATGTATATACTAATTAAAATTCTCTTGTAAGAAATTTTAATTAATAAATGGAACTCATAAATCCATCATGAAAATACAAAAATATAAAGATACTATTAGGATATTTATACATAAGATAAACATATATATATATATATATATA